GGTGGGGGGGGGGGAAGTAAAGCTGGCGGTCCCATGTCGTAGATTTACGCATGTAAAAGAACCTTGCAGGCATGATACGAGATGTTTTGTAAACAAAATTCAGTGGCTATTTCTCACCCAATAAGGTAGATAAAATCTATAGCACAACTTCCTTTGGGGGGGGGGGGGGGGGGAGGGGCCTATGTCCTAGATTTACAGCATGTAAAAGAACCTTATGAGCATGATACGAGATGTTTCATAAGCATGTGAGTAGAAATTGTGCAAATAATTGTTGTTGTTGTTGTTCAGTACAGTGGAAGTCCATTGTAATGTGTATGGCTTATGACAAGTTCTTAATGCACCATCCATAGGAGGTCTGGGTAGATTCTGTAGCAGTTCTGGATGTAAAACATTCTTGCTTTTGCTGGGAATTAAATGTAAATTGTCCCTTCTGTAAGCATTCATTGCTGGCTGAGCAGTCATTGCATGTGTTTGTTCAAATATTTGACTCTGATAGACCCCATGTATACTGGACAAAATCGTCAAATGATCCGATCTGCTTATGAACTACAGCTACAGGAAAATCAAATTAACACATCCTGTCCAGCTGCGTAGCCTAATTTTGCACATGTTGCTCATTTAATTGTCAGTTTCTGCATTAGATTAGAATGCAGTGATATTTTCAGAAATACGGATTAAGAAATGAACTAAAGTGATCAGAACTTTTTTAACCTGAAACAAAGAAAATGCTCAACTCAGCATCCAAGTTCAAATTCTACATGCTTCAGTTAACAAGTATGTGATTCTGCTGCCAGAAATTTGTTGCAGAGAATATGTGGGTGATGCGTGTTTGTGGTGAAAAATTTGTGTTGTGATAACTTTGATTTGAAGGCATGACACCATTCCAAGCAGTGAAAGCAATTGTCTTTGAAGATAGATTCCTGCGGTGCAGTGAATATATTGAGAAGATATATTTTCATCTCATCTCTTTGCAGATCCTCCTCAGTCACCAATATCATCAGTTTCAGAGAGATTTCAATCACCAGTAGTGTCGAGTTTGGCAAAAAAACGGCTGTTTTCAGAGGGACCTGGCCTGAGTAATGTTATAAGGACATCTGTAGTGAAACCTGGGCAGTCTCTTCTACAGACATCAGCAAAAACTATGTCTATTAACATACAAAGTGAGTTTAACTGGTTCAGGGCTGCATGCAGTACAAATTTTGTACAGTTTACGTCTCATTGGCTTTACATTTATCTTCTATATTTTGTGGTTCTGGCATCCTTTGCTGAAAAATATGTGCATTTGATGTATAAATGGAGATTTACAGACATAAAATATTAAGAATGGAAGTGGTTCTGAAACTCCAGTTTGTGGTAACGAATGTAAATGTTGATGTCACTGTGACTCTGTACAGCACCATTTCAGTTTTTCTTACAGCATGTTATGTACGAAATTTGAAGTGTATGAACATTTTATTTTAATTTTTAGTATTAATACTTGACAAAAGGTTTGTTTCCACATGGTTGACTTGCATAGTCTGAAACATTAATGCATGGTGCTCAGCCTTCTTGGCAGGCAGGCTACATTGAAAGGTAGAATATTCTATGATGCAAAAGCATTAGGCCCTGCCTTTGCTCTGCAAGACAACAGTTTGTTCTATTTTTGAAATGCCAGTTTGCATTTTATCTTTTAACTGGAATGGAACTTTGTTGTTTTTTGTTTTATATGTAAAAAAAAATCAGGTTTACATGTACGTGTGCTCTTATAGTAGTATAGGTTATGTCAAAATTATTACAGCAATTGAAGGTGAGAATGGTCAGCGCTACATTCCCATCTCGTACGTACCTGGTACTGGAAGTGTTATCATTCAGGCCCAGCCTACAGGAACACTGAAACAGCCACAGCCTTCTGCTGCACAGCAGATATCGCCTAACAGACAGCAACTACAGCTGTCACCAAACCAGCAGCAACAACAGACGGCAAGTAAAGACAAGAAGCCAAAACGGACAGGATCCTTAGGCCTGTTCTTCAGAAAGGTAGGGATAGGTGGTTAAATCAATTTGAAATTTATCTTAAATTATTATAGCATATTCCATTATGTATTTTCTGAACATGGAGATGCAGAATGTTGCAGCCTCATGGTTAAGATTCTAGCATTGTATTCAGGATGTTTTGGTTTAGAAGGTGGCTTCCATGATTTGAGTTCCTCAGTCTCTCCACGTGAATGTTGGAATATTACCTTAAAATAGGCTGTAGCACCTTCCTCATCCTTTCTTCTTTATCATTTAGTCTGTTTTCTTTTTAACGCCATATAATATATGTGTTTTTGAGAAATGTGTGTTTTGTTGCAAAATGTTTTTGATGTGTGTGTGTTTAGTATGCCAGTTTCTCTTTAATTTCAGTTCTATCACTTGGCCTCAGTTCGCATACAAGAAATGTGTCTTCATCTTATCGTAAGGGACATGGAGCTCAAACGCAAGATCTGGACATGTTTTGAGCACTCCATTATTCACCACACAGACCTGATGCAGGATCGTCATCTGGACCAGATCTTAATGTGCTCGGTGTATGTCATATGCAAGGTTTGTACTTCTTCATGCAGTGCAAATGGTGATATGAACATCTTTTTCATCTGGCTTGCATTTGGGATTTACACATTTAAAATGCTGTGTCATGACAGATTTTTCATAAGTAAATTTTAAAGGGTACTGACGATGGTGCGTTTCAATGAGGATTGCTAAATAATGGGACTGTGTCCATTGTGATTTTAGAAAGAACACTACGTTTCAGAAGCTAGATATTCTTCTGTCCTCAGGTTAAAATGGGGGGAGGGGCACCTACTCAGTTTAGTGTGAGCTAACCTCAATCACTGGTTAGCTCTGTCGGTGTTTTCTACGTTAAACCACCTGACATGGCCGGTAGCCTGAGAAGAATTCATTGGATCAAAACAACTTTATTTAGAAAAAAAAATTATATTAGTTTTTATCTGAACAGGTGGCCCAGAGTGAGAGAACTTTCACAGAAGTCATGCGTTGTTACCGCCTTCAGCCACAAGCGGCATCACATGTCTACCGCAGTGTCCTCCTTTCCTCCAAGCGCAGACGGGGTTCTGGTTCCTCCAGCAATGGCACATCAAATGCATCGAGTCCTGTCCCCAGTGACACTGAGGTCAAAGGTAAGATTAATTATACAGTAGTCGTTCCTGATGAATAGTCCACGCCACTGTTACCAGTTTCTTAGCTAGTACCCTGCTGGTATGTCCATGCATTTTCTGTTGACGGAAGTAGGTGGTGTAGCCGAGCCTCTTTATAACCCTGAAATATTTTATGGAAACTGTTTTTAGCTTACTTTCCTCATGATATTATTAAATATACATATTCA